AATCGTGTTTTTGGTGGGAATGAAGACAGGTTCTTTTTTTTTTTTTCTTTGTTTATAAAAAATGGTTGCCTGATAGTCACTGCAAATGAAAGCGAGGCTGTACTAAGTAAAAATAACTGTTTTCTTTTGCTTCTAGCAGAAATACCGTAGACTGAATAAGGTGCGTAGTATAGCGAAGATGTTGGGGCTGTTCGGGGAGGATGGGAGCTAGTTACTTTGGGGCAGGGTGTGGAAATGGGAGGGGGGGAAGTCTTTATACCCTTCAGAAAATAAACTCAATTTTAAGATCAGCAAAGAGGGTATTAAAAATGTTTATAACTGAGACATTTTCTGATTGTTTATTTTGATTTGTTTGCTTTCTAACATTACTTTTTCAGGGTGGCTGAATATTTTAGCTAGTTCAAAGCAACTTTTACTGGAATGATACACTACTGCAATGTGGGGGGCCTGTACACTTGAATTCAGAACAAACCTTGTCCGAGTTGCATGTATCTGGTAGTGTATGGTTATTTTGTATTGAAGTGTGGTGCCTAAAGTCCTCTTGGAAGGAATGTTGCAACTGTCTCACTGGGTTGGACTTTGGATAGAATGTACTACAAAATAAGCTCTTGTAGTTTACAAAAAGTAGTTGCCCTGGAATGTATTTAAAAGCTATAAAGTTTCTAGAGAAAATGTTTCACAGAGAAAGTTGATGAGGCCCCAGTTGTCTGTAAGATTCTGCGTTTCAGAAAGCAGTCTAGGGTTGGACTGCCTGGGAGACAGAGCAGTCTCATCTTACAGGTTTAGCAGCATATGAGTGTAGGTGTGGTGCCAGGCATTTTGTGGACACTTGCTAGTGTTCATAGAGGTACAGTTCACGGGAGGACTCCAGCTGAAAAGAGTGCCTTTAGAGAGAAATACTGCAACTCCAGAAGGCTGATTATTCAAAACCCTTGCGATACGAAAGTAAAATTTATGGCAAACTCAGAATAAAGGCAGCGTGTGTCTCCAGCAGCACTGTCAGAAAGGTCTTGGGATTTTTGCAAAGATCAGGATTTTTCCAGGAATGTGGGTGGGTGCTAGTTGCCATTGTTTTCCGCTCTCTTCTGAGAAAGGTGCAGTAAGGCTGCTGAGTGTTTGGGGTTTTAGGTAGGCTGTAGGAACCAGTAGTTCTATTTTGATCGCGAGAAAGTGTGAGCAGAGGGAACCAGATGCTCTTCTGCAGTGTCGGCCTCTCCCTGCCGTCCTCCTGGGCCGCCCTTGCTGGCTGGAGCAGTGACCCCCCCTAGCTCGGGCGGGGGTGGCGGGACACTCCCATGGCGCCACTGCGGGTGCTGGGACGTGGCTGGCGGCGGGGGCTTGCTCACACACATTCTCTTGGCCCCGCCCCTCCGGCTCCATATTGAGAGTGGAAGAGATGAGATTGCTCACAAAATGGCGTCGGTCGGTGCTGTGTAGAGCCTTGCCTTGAGGGAGGAAGTCACTAGTCAAGGCTGGAAAGCAAGTTCCATGCCTCCTCAGAGCCTATTATTATGTTTGGAAAGTCTGTTAAATTGCTTAGGGGGAGAAACAAAGCCTCTTCACAGCTTGCTGGCTGCAGGCAGGCTGGGCATTTATACTGCTACACACCCCCGCCATTCCCGACTGAGGGAGAGCCTGCAAAATGACATGCGGCCCTGCAGTATCAGCTGAGTGGGAGGGAGACTGCTGATCTTTTTGAAGCGGTGTGGTAGTTACGCTAGGGAAGAAGACAGAAGTGTGTTGTGCAAGGTTTGCTGCCCTGGAGAGATTGATGTTATAACTAGCTTGTAGCAGGACTGAGAAGCAATCTTGTGTGATAGAGGACAGCACTCTGAAAACCCTAAGAGGTGCTTATCCCCAGTGAGAACAAAATCTCTGAAAAAGAACCCTAATTCCCTAACAAAATGTTTCCCTTTATTTCTGTGGAGAGTTCATTTAACATAGGTGTGTCCTGAGATTAATTTCTCTCTGATAGAAGCTGTAACAGTAAGTGTTTTTCTTCCCATATGAAAATTACAGTTTATGTGCCATAATAAAAATAAACAGCAAAAGACTTCACTTTTCCTTTCAGGAGTGACCTGAAGAGTTCTGTGGTCATTCTTTTACGTTAAAAGCAGCTTGAGTTGCTAACTGAAAACCCCATAGCCTTAAGGGGTGTCAGAGAACTGTAAAAAGTCTGTCCAGTTTTTCCTTATATAGGTTTTTGGTTTTGGAGGAGTCTAAACTCTACAGTTTCACATAACAGATATCCTTTAATATGCATAGGAGAGTTTGAAACACTGAATGTTCCCAGCTTTAACTAACGTGGCTAAAAATTAAGTAGTGTCAGTAGATTAAAAAAAAAAAGCAATTTCACTTAACCTAAAGCAGTTTCTAGCTCCAGTAGGTGTGTTACTTTTTAAGATTTTAAGTTTATGTATGGTTAGAAGTGAGGTTTTTTTCTTATTAGTATAGTTCTGTAGTCCAGACCACTTGTAAGACTGTAGAAAAGAAGCTTTACTTTGTAGTCACAGGACCACTGACTGTCAATCATAATATAATATAATATGTCAATATAATATTCCTGCAGTAACTAAGTCCGTTAACCAGAAAGTTGTTACCGAGAATGCTGGGGTTCTTCCTCGCTAAGTTTAGCAGGTGTGAGGGCAGGAATTTACTTTCCAGGCAGCTTTTCATAATCTCGGGTATTGTTTCATATAGTACAACCTGAACATTATAAACCAGTGGTTTCCTAAAGCAATATATAATTTAGAAATGTTCTTTTGCTATGTATTGCTTTACAATATTAATTGCTCTTTAGGTGATTAGGTTGCACTCAAAGGGATGTACACTTTTCTGACTAGCCCTAGCTAGTCAACCTCCTTTATTTAAACTGTGGCAGAAGTTAAAGCACTTCACCTTCAGGTTTGAAGCAAGACATCTACACATAGAAATGTGTCTGGTTTTATGTAGATCAGCTCTCAGGCTAATGCTGCCTGTAGTCTAGGTTAACCCTCTGCAGCAGAAACAGTGAAGCCTGTTACGCATTCATGCTGCAGAGTTGAAGTCATATGCAGCATAACTAGCCAGCAGCATAGCTGGCTAGCACCTTGTTGTGGTGTGTTTTACATGCACAAAAGTACCAGCTTGCTAAATAAGATTTTAGTCTGGTTGCTTTTTATGAGACTGTCTTGGGGATAGGAGAAAGTTGTAAAATAATTTTGTATAAACTCCTGTCAAATATAAGTGGTTATTCCCTGTCTAACTGGAAAAAAAAACATGTAACACTGAAAGAGAGTAGAAACGCTAATGCACTTGTAAGCCCACTTTAATCATGCTATAGAAAACTGGGCTCTGAAAATTGCCACTTTTAAAATGTGGCTGGTTATATATGTGATATTGTTAAGAGCTTCAATTAAACTTGTTTGTTTTATGGTGCTTGTTAAGGTGCCAGTCTTATTCCAGTAGTTGTTCCCACTACTGGTCATTGATTAGTCATTATTCAAGACAATTTTTTGTCTGCAGGACATAAGTCCGTGATGGTTCACATTTAAGAGGTATTTCTGATAACACTGAAAACCACGTATGTACTCCTACTTTCTTGCTTGCGTGCACTCAACTTAAAAAATTATCTGAGTGCAAAATTTACAATTTTAAGGAATTAAGACTCGATAAATTTATTCTAAATGCATAAATATAACCTTTAAAATTTATATCTCGGAAGACTAGACACTCAGTTTGGACAATAACCTTTTTTTCTTATATACTGTGTTCTTAATTTTTTTAATGTTATACATGATTATGCTTCGTGAACTGTTAAAACTTCCCTTTATCTAGCAGTGCTTTGTTGCTAATCCTTACAGAGCAATATGGAACTTGAACCATAAGATAGGCATAAAATGAATGTACTGCTGAGGGGGTGGGGGAGCAACCAAATTATTTAGTGTATTGAAATCTTTTTACTGTTGTTTGCATTTGGGCACTCTTAAGTTGTTAGTATTTTAATTGAAGTCACACCTCATTAAGTGTTTACTATGCGGCTGTCTAAACCCGTCAGAAGTTGTTGTTTTTATTAAATGTATTTCACATATTTGTAGTTATAATGTGTACAGATCATTTTTAGTAATTCTGTGAAATTTTAACTCTCTGGTTTGTATTCAAAATACGTTTTTGACTTTTGATTTTGTAGGGCCATGAGCCAAAGGAGCCAGAGCAGTTGAGAAAGCTGTTCATTGGAGGTCTGAGCTTTGAGACAACAGATGATAGCTTGAGAGAGCACTTTGAAAAATGGGGCACGCTCACGGACTGTGTGGTAAAGTGTCAAATCTTAGTTTGTGCTTCTGAAAGAATATAGGTACATAATCTCGTACAGAAATGCAGAAAACCTGTATGTTTTTGCAGGTGATGAGAGACCCGCAAACGAAACGTTCCAGAGGCTTTGGCTTTGTGACTTACTCATGTGTGGAGGAGGTGGATGCTGCCATGAGCGCTCGACCACATAAGGTTGATGGACGCGTGGTTGAACCAAAGAGAGCGGTTTCAAGAGAGGTAAGTTAATGTTTCGGTTAACCTGATTTCTTAATCTTTATCTAATAATTTAAAACGCTGAATGTCATTTTTGGTGTTGCAGGATTCTGTAAAGCCTGGGGCACATCTCACAGTAAAGAAAATATTTGTTGGTGGAATTAAAGAAGATACAGAAGAATATAATTTAAGAGAGTACTTTGAGAAATATGGCAAGATTGAAACCATAGAAGTCATGGAAGACAGGCAAAGTGGGAAGAAAAGAGGCTTCGCTTTTGTAACTTTTGATGATCATGATACAGTTGATAAAATTGTTGGTATGTAACTCTTAAGTGAGAAGTGACTTACAGGACAAAAATTTGATGTTGGATTTCAGAGCAGCAGTATGCAATGTAAGATATCAGCAAAATCAACTGCTTGACCATTGTAAGACATAGGGTAAATTTAATGTTCCTTTTGAAAGTGTCATCATACCTTACAGTAGCTTTCTGTGAGAATTTTACAGCATATTGCTTTCAGTGATTTGATTTTTCTAACTGCTTATTTCACAATTTTCTCCAGTTCAGAAATACCATACTATAAATGGGCATAACTGTGAAGTGAAAAAAGCGCTCTCAAAACAAGAGATGCAGACTGCTAGCTCTCAGAGAGGTGAGTTTGGAGTTGTGCATGGTTATTTTGTGTAACTGGTTTTCAATTATGTAATTTAAGTAAAATATTTTGTAGGTCGTGGGGGAGGCTCAGGCAACTTCATGGGTCGTGGAAACTTTGGAGGTGGTGGAGGGAACTTTGGCCGAGGAGGAAACTTTGGTGGAAGAGGTAAATGACTGGAATGTTTACTTTAGAATATTATTTTTATTTTTTTATTTCCTCCGTCACTTAAACACTTAACACATGTGTTCCGGAAAACATTCTCATCTGTTTTGTGTTCTAGGAGGCTATGGGGGTGGTGGTGGCGGTGGTGGGAGCAGAGGAAGCTTTGGGGGTGGTGACGGATACAATGGATTTGGTGATGGTGAGTTGTCCACTTCTTTTTTTCCCCAACGTTATAACCAGCTGTAAGTCTTGCCTTCACCTTGGGAACCAAGTCTGCTTTTGTGATGTTTTCTACGCATGGCTATGGAAATAGCATTTTTGTATGGGGGGGAAAAATGAGGGAACTAGCATATAGTTGCTTATGTCCTGATTTTGTAAAGAGATACTTCTAGTTGTGTTGAGTTCCTTGGAACTATTTCTTAGTTTGGAACTACTCCATCAAAATATCAGAGACCAGATTAGCATCTAGAATACTAAGTCTTTCAGATATGCTTTATGTGATTAGGAAAAAAAAATGGCCAGAAGCTTTGACACACATGTAAATAAAGCTGTATGTCTAGATAGAAACTGTAAACCACAGTTCTTCTGAGGACATTGCCTACTGAGTCACTTTGGTTCAGAGGAATAAAGGCAATGATACACAGTACTGACAAAGCCATTTGTGTTGAGAGGCAGTTATTACATGTGATGCACAGTGGCGGTGGTAGCAGCATTTCCGTGTGTTTTTTGTGAGCCAGCACAAACTTCTGAGTATCATGCTTCAAGAGTATACATAAACTAATGGGGAGTTTTTTTGTTTGGAGTAAATAGCTTAGATAAATTATGCAACTGCAATGACTATAATACAAGGAAAACATTATGGGACATTTGTGTTGTGTTTTGTTAAATGGACCTTTTCTTGCCAATATTTTGCTTTGGTGTGTTTAGTTTAACTCTCTTATTCAAAGGTGGCAACTATGGAGGTGGTCCTGGCTATGGCAGCAGAGGAGGTTATGGTGGTGGTGGAGGACCAGGATATGGAAACCCAGGTGGTGGATATGGAGGTGGAGGAGGAGGATATGATGGCTACAATGAAGGAGGAAATTTCGGTGGTGGTAAGATGCCAGCTGTAATGAGACATCCATTTTTTTAGGCAGGTTTGAGTTGTGCCAAGGTCTGAAGTATGTTACTCCATAAAATGAGTTGCACGATTAGGTCTTAATGTAGAATGCTGTGTTAAGTAAGGAAGGTTCTTTTCCACCTGGATCAGCTTTGATACACTATACAACTTTTTTTTTGCCTGGAACTTATTTTTCAAGAAGCAGCAGCTATAAATCTGTGTGTGGAGATAAAGTAGGAGAATTTTGAAGCTTTTGACCATTTGAAGTATGCTGTTGCCCTCGGATAGCAGTTCACATCATGTGAATTGTGTCCTCCTTTGTGAGGACTATAAATCCAAGTTTTTGCAGGATTTTTGATTGTTTGCCCCAGGTTTGGGGAGTAAGCTGCAAAATGTGCTGCATACTTTATTATACCCTCTGGTGTGTATATGCAGCATGCCCATTATACGTATGTGGCTTTTTAGAGCAAATAAATTATATACAGTTTACATTATTGTCAGTCATGCAAAGTGTTGGGCGGTGGAAGAATGACAGTGAAACTTGTGCTTTTGTGAGTTTGGAGGCCTTAAATTTGGCCTATGTTAAATTCAATTAAACAATTACAATTTACATTTACGTTGGATGTCATCATTTGTCAGGCTTCATGTCCTACGTGTTGAGCAAAAGCGCCTTTATAAATCTGTATCTCTTTCAGGTAATTATGGTGGAAGTGGAAACTACAATGATTTTGGCAATTACAGTGGACAACAGCAGTCTAACTATGGTCCCATGAAAGGTGGTGGCAGCTTTGGTGGCAGAAGTTCAGGCAGTCCCTATGGTGGTAAACATGATTTTGTACAGACAGCATTTTTCAGGTTAAAATTTCTTGTTATTCTTTTATTTCAATATATACCCTGTTTTTTGTAGGTGGTTATGGATCTGGAAGTGGAAGTGGGGGCTATGGTGGTAGAAGATTTTAAAAAAGCTACCAGAAAAAGGGTAAGTGTAATGCATATTTATAATGATGATTAATAATGTACAACTGTTCACTGAGAGTAATAATTTTCTTATCCTGTATTCAACAGGCTACAGTTCTTAGCAGGAGAGAGAGCGAGGAGTTGTCAGGAAAGCTGCAGGTTACTTTGAGACAGTCGTCCCAAATGCATTAGAGGAACTGTAAAATCTGCCACAGGAGGAACGATGATCCATAGTCAGAAAAGTTACTGCAGCTTAAACAGGAAACCCTTCTTGTTCAGGACTGTCATAGCCACAGTTTGCAAAAAGTGCAGCTATTGATTAATGCAATGTAGTGTCGATTAGATGTACATTCCTGAGGTCTTTATCTGTTGTAGCTTTGTCTTTCTTTTTTCTTTTTTATTTTCCCATTACATCAGGTATATTGCCCTGTAAATTGTAGTAGTGGTACCAGGAATAAACAAATTAAGGAATTTTTAACTTTTCAATATTTGTGTAGTTCAGTTTTTCCACATTTAGTACAGAGAACTCTATAACAGAAATAAAATGTAGTTTAGGGTGTTTCCTTGTTAGTTAATAGGATTAATGCATTTCTCAATTACTATTTTGTATTAATTTTAAGGTTAACAATAGAAACACCTATTGATTTGCAGTCTTAAGGGGTCTAGTCTCAGTGTATATATGTAACTGTCATTGACATGAGTTACATAGGCATACAGAGGGAAAACATCTGTATGTTGCATTATAGTTTGTTTAGATGTATAACTAGGATTGAGTTACTCAAATTAGTGTTTGTGAATTATAGAACTAAGCTTTACCTTAATGAAAGTTTCAAATTACTTTTTGGTTTGTGCATATTTTTTTATTTTGTAGTTCTGTATTAGTACTAGCGCTTCAAGAAAATAAGGCATGATAAATATTTTAACAAGACCAACTTTAGACACATTAAAGCTGTCTCCCGGCTCATTTGAGATGTACAAGGGATAACTGCAGTTGCTTAAGTAACTTGGGTGAAGAGAAAAAGAAATTTCCTTTTACCTTTATATTTATTGTAATTCCCGAGAAGCTAAGGTGGGGGGGAATTAAGTGCCTGTTTCTTTGGGATATACAATGATTCTGTTTCAATAAAACTATACTTGGGGGGGCTGGCTTGGAATTTTCATCCCCTTTGTCCCCATTTCCCTCTCCCTCACACCAGACTGCACTGTTTCAATTAAATGAGGCGTCATAGTGAGAGTAATAGGTGTGTTCCTCAATAACTTAATGGCTATATACTTTCTTGCATGCACCCTAGGCAATTTTCTGGACACATTCTTCTGACTGGGAGCCAAGGGTAGCACAGGTGTAATCACTGACAGTCCCAGGTAATGCATTGCAAAAGCCTATTCACAAGGGGCTCCAAGTAGTATAGTTTCCAAGTTTTTTCCCTTGCAAATGTCTACACTCAGCTAAGAGCTTGAAGAGGAAACAAAACACGATCTAGTTGTATTTTATGGACTAGAAACACTTCCCACAATGTAGAATGGTACAGTCTTGAGTTTTCACAGGTAGAATGGTAGTGTGTGTTACAATTTGATTTAATGCACTGGAGTAGCAAATCTTATCAGCACATATGGCTAGAAATTTTACTTAATTTCACTTCTGACCTCCAAATTAAGGCGCTACAGTCTGTCCTATTCTCAGCTGATGCAAATTCTCTCTCAACTATTGCCAGGACAGTGCTTTCTGTCAAATCAGACTCAGAAGAGTAGGGCCCAGTCAATAGAAGAAATATTCAGAGACTTGACAACATGGTATTGGAATTGTTCACACCTGTTTCACTTCTGGGTCAATGTGCAGTATAAGGTAAATGCGATTCCAGTGTAGGAATGAATCTGCAAAGTTGTATGAAATGGCTCAAGGCATAATCAGTCATATTAATAATGAATTATAATTTTAAGAAGTAGTAGAAAAATGAGTGTGTTATTTGAAAAAAAAAAATTAAACAATGTTATTTAAATACTATTATTGGAGTGTATGTAGACTGCAGTACACTAAAACAAGGAACTGGTGTCAAGATGGTAGCCTCCAAACTGGATTTCAAAGTCTGCTTATTCTTTTCTGTGGAGTTTTATAATATCTCTAAAGTTAAAGCAAGAACTGGTGATTTAGTGAATGCTTCTGTTGTTGTGCATATTAATTGGGCTTGGGGTGGGGGGGGAGGTTGCATTTCAATAAAGGCATTTTTTAAACAACCCATTTGGAGTTTGAAAACATTGAAAACTAAACCACAACTCACTAGGGAGTGAGCCACGTAACTACCGACTTGCTTTGTACGTTATTATCCTTAGAAGATGTGTAGACTTGTACCTGGGGCCTGCATCTGATTGCAGGGACAACTGGAGGATGGGGTTGATGTCCCTTTTGACAATTGATCTGGTATTTCTAAATTTTTTTAGAATGTATTGACAGTGTTCTTTTTAACAGGGCCTCTTGTAGCTGTACTGTGACAACAATGTTAACTTTGAAAAATAGTGTCATAATAAACTTTATGAACAAGATCTGTATGCAACCTTTAAAGAGATGGATGTAAGTGATCGCTTTGTAGGTGGGTGGGGTAGCTTAGCTGTTGTTTGTGATGTGGAAAAGTGTAAGGACAGCGATTAACCAGCTTTAAAGAACCTAGGATGCACTTCTTTGATCCATACTTTGCTAAGGAGACTCATAAGACAGGACTTCAGCAGCCTATTGAGTATGGAGAAGTCAGCATAATTAAAGAATGACAAGGCAGCAGGAGCAACAGCTTCAACTTCCAGAAAAGTGAAGGCATAAGATACTGTGCTGATAGTGAGCAGCTTTTCCAAAGGCTAGTTAAATCTGCTTATCACAGCTGAAATATCGAAGAAAGTCTAGCAAGAGTTCTTCACCTTTTGGAACCTCCTTGAGTGATAGCTACTTGAGTTGACTCAAAATCAATAGGTCTAGCATTTAGACCTGAAAGGAAGGGCAATGAGCATAGGTAAGGTTTGCCTTTAAAATTTTTCATTAATTAAAAAGAGTAGTGGGAGGTTTTTAAACAAGGTAAGAGTAATTTCTTTAATTTTCAGGTTGAATGAGAAGCTGCTGCTTGACAAAATGGGGAATGTCTTGCACATGCTCTTCAGTTGAAGGTTTCTGACTGGGTAAGATTTGTAGTGTATAGTAAAACACTTGTTTAACCCTTGTTTCCTTCTAGGCTTTCTTTTGCCAGTCTTTTAATGTAAAGGAAAGCCTCAAGTACTAAGGAGCAAGTATTCCAGCATATGTCATCCAGTGTTCCCTCTTCTGGATGAGGGTTGCTTGCTGGCATAATTGCTATTTGAGAATCTTCTGTTCCTGGCAGGTACAAAATTGCTATGTGTCTTGAGATCAACGAGACAGAAAAAAAGATGTTTTGAAATACGTGTTCTGGTTTCCGTGGGGAGTGTGCTGTGGGGGTTTTCAGAAATTGTTCATTACCTTGTCATAGAAAGAGATGCCTTACAGAAGCCCAAGAGGTGAAGACACTGAAGCGGTTCATCGCAGTTCTCAGTAGTGTCTGATACACTGCTGCTCCAGTAATTGTGTAAAGGCACTTTGCATTGGTCAGAGCAGTGATTTCCCTCCTAATAAATTAATCTTTGTTTACCAGGTGGGCTTGTATCTATCTTATCTGTACAAGTCAGAGTCCCCTTTCAGATTTTTGCCATTTTCGGGCAGGGTAGTTTAGTGGAGGGTCATACTGCCACATGATCCCCAGCTGAAAGCACAACTGCATTCATACAAATGAATGGCGATTAAAGAACTTTCTGTGGAAGCTGCTTTGATGCACAGTGGTTCTTAACTCTTGGAACATGTATTTCCTTTTCTGCTTCTTCAGCTGTTACAGATCTGGGATATTTTTAACTCATTTTATGTAGTGATCTAGTACCTATTTAAACTTACCAATACTTTTTTGAGTCTGTTTTTTTTTTTGAGAAGTCGGTTTCTATTTTTAGGGTTGGTTATGCTTCAGTTACTCAGAAAATAAAGGCAAATGGAACTTGTGCATTTCAGTTTAACCTGGGGCTTAGGGATGTTCACAGACGGATTCAAGTATTGAAGCGTATTACCTGCTGTCTGTGAACACCCAGAAAGCAAACTCCTGATATAGTAACAGACAGTTAAAAGATAGCTTTGGAATTACAATGCTAATGTTGAGATTTTTGTATATAATCAGGAGCTACTTCATGGAAATCTCACAATGTATATATTTTTGAAGAACACTGACAAACATTTTTGTCTGGCCAAAGTTGAGCCAGAATTTAAAGCTGCTGCAGTAAGGTCACAGTCTCTCCTTGATGTACTGTGCTAGGCAGCTTGTTGCTGAGGTGACAAGGTTGGTTTCTTCCACCTCAAGGTGGAAAACCTTTGCTGTTCCTCTGCTAGGCAGAGTTGCTCATGTGAGTTCACCCAGGTATCTGTATGTAGTGACAGGTAACAGGGAAAAGCATTCACGTGTTTTACGATTGCTCAGTTGAAGGCAAATGCTTTGGCATATTGGGGAAGGGGGAGCATCATGATTTTTTTTACCAGTCAAATCTTGCAAATGTTTTAACAAAAGTAAGTTTTAACAAAACCTCTAGTTTGTATCCCATCCCCCAGGCCTGCGTACAGAGCAAAGCTCTACCTTAACATCAGAGGATTCTGCACTGCTGCAGACTTGTTTTGTGCTCTGGAGGGGTCTTGCACCATGTATAGAACTAGGTATTCACTGTTAGAGTTATTTTCACACTTGGATTTAGAATGCTCTTGTTAGACTAATTTGCTTAATTTCAATTATTCATAGCCTAAACCTTGTCAAAGATAAGACACATCCTTAAGGAGTACCTGGTCAAGTGTATCTTCATCCAAGAGACACTTCCAAGAGTTAAGAATATTGTTTCATGGCTAGGTTTTCCTGTAGTGGCTGCTATTGAAAATAGCAGCTGTAAATGGAGATGGAGATGTAAAGATGTAAAGTTAACGAAGCATTGGTCCCTAAGCTGCAGTTCCACAGAAGTTTATTTGATACCTAAACCTGTGCATTAATCTAAAAGCAAATGGTAGTTGCAGGTGGTAAAGATGTATTTCCCCAAAAGGGGCCCAGGTTGATGCAGATGTGATTAAGTGTTTAGTTTCTAGAACACTGAAATTAAACACACCATCTTAACTTTGATATCCTTTAAATACTTAAGGCGGAAAGGGGAATGCTCCTGGTCCTTCAAGCATTGTGTGATCTGCTGACTTGCTGTCTTTGGTTCCTGTGTTTAAGGCATTAACATGTTTTCATATACGGTTTACACTGTGGTGGAATATTCACTTACGTACCAGTCTGTGGTCTCTGACAAGTGTTTGTATCTTAAATTTGTGTGGAGCATGAAAGATCTTGAGTATCACTAAAATTCACATATCTGATGGATGATTCTTTTTCTGCTGTGGGTGCTACAGGTTGACATCTCTATCTAAGATTAGCTTTTTTCCTGAACTAAAGTAATCCAAGTATCTCCGTAGAAGAAAAATGGCCTTCATGTAGAAGATAATATCGCAAGATCGGAAACAGAATAATATGTTAAAATAACTGGCAAAGACTTCAAGAGCAATGGTGCTAGTGTGCTGCAATCTTAGAACTTGTGGTTAAACAAGTTTAAAAATAGCATGGAAATTAAAAATTTCAGTATAGTCCATAATGGATTGAAATTTGTTAAAATATTTAAATTTTGTATCAGAATAAAGTGTGTATTGTCAAATGACTTACAATCTAAAATGCGTTGGCATCACCTTTGTTTAGTGCTGTGAGGAACACAAAGCAGTCTTAAATTATTGCAACACATTATGAGTTTCAGGATCATCTTTCCAACTCAGGACTGCAAGTCAGAAAACTTCGGCTCAGCCCATCTCCTCAGCTTTACTTTTAATAGTTATAAAACT